TATTCTCATCAAACAATCATCTTTTCATAGCTTTTCTGAACCTCCTTAAGTCTTTTATTTCCTTGACCGATTTTGGTAATTTGTTCCACATGATTGCACTTGTATATAAAAACGTATTTTTCCCCACTACACTTCTAAATTTAAATAAACAAATATTAAAATCTAAACCCCTAGTACTGTATGAATGCTGTTGCCTCACCATTTGAAAACAGTTCACCAAATAACTAGGAACCACATTATTAAACATTTTACGTACCATTCTCAGTTTTAAAAACATTAGTGCTGTCAATCGATAAAAAATTAACTATAATCACACTTTTTGTTTTGCAATTAATCACACAAACATATTGTCTTCTTTTAAGAAATAATATGCCAAAATGAAGTGAGTGTTTAATCTTGTTTTTCGATTTGTGATAAGGTTATTTTGCTTACCCCATTGGCAGATTATTTTGCTTGATTTGAGGAAAAACTCACTTCATTTCGGCATATTATTTCTTAAAACAAGACAATATCTTTTGCTTGTCTAGAAAATGCTTCTTGATTTAAGAACTTTCAGATATTTGGACTAGAAACAAGACAAAAAGTAAGAAAAGCATTTTTTGCAGTGAAGACCAAAGACTAATTCTTACAGGGACTTTGGTCACACCATCTCTATACATTTAAACAAGGGATACGGACGGTGACATCGGATGTTTAGGCATTTGTTCTTGTTTCGAGGAAACGCACGCGCGTGCACACAGACACAGAAACAGACAAACAGACAGACACACACACAAACATGTTTGTTTTTGTGAAAAGTGGGGACATTACATAGGTTTCCATTCATTTTATACTGTCCAAACCGTATATTGTATTGCCCTCACCCCACCCCACCCCACCCCTAAACCCAACCATCACAGGAGACAGTGTGCAGCTTTACTCTCTGATTAAACTCATTCTGTGGGATTTATAAGCATTTTGAGACATGAGGACATCACCAATGTCCTCATATTTCACCTCCTTTTTGTAATAACTGTGTTATATCCATGTCATTATACAGATTTGTGTCCTGATATGTCACAAAAACACACACGCACACACACACACACACACATGACACACGCAGGACAGAACAGCCGGAGTGACTCCCTTTAGATTCAACACACATGATCTCGTTCATCAAATTTGCTTAAACTAAGCGTTCTACAGTATGGCTATATTTCACAAGGATTCTGACAGAGCAACGTGAAGCAGACGCTTTACAAAAGTTGTGTTTAAAGGGGAAACACGACAGAATGTCTTTGACAGCTCACGACATCAACTGAGTACATTTACACGGACACCATTACTCCGCTTTTAATATGATTAAGATAATACTCTTATTAAGAGACAACCATGTAAACAGCATTTCGATTGTAATTTCCCTTCATATTCTGTGAGCAGCTACTATACCAAAATGAGGTAGCATAATTAAAATAGGGTTGAATCAAAGCTCCTGCCAATAATTTTAAAGATTGAACATCTTTTGAACAATGAAGACTTTTGTATGTAGAGCTGCCTCCAAAACCTTCTGAGTAGTGATGAGATGCCAATGTCTTCAAAAAACACAGCAAATTTCATGACAGCATTGACCTAAAATGAATGGTATGGCCTGTTGCCAATTAAAGAAAAGCAAAAACTGTGCCGAGTAGTAAAAATTGCCAGCGTAATTTTAGGTAAAGCACAAAAACAACCAAATGAAATGTACTTAATGAGAATTAAACAGAAAGCACACGTCATTCTTGAAGATTGTTGCCATCCCTTAAATATAGCATCTAGGCTTTTGCCATTAAAAAGGCGTCTTAGACTGTCACAGTCAAATAAATGTTCAGATGGATCCAAGTGCGAGTGAAAAATAATATTTATTTGACACAGTCAAAATAAATGCAAGGAGTGAGTGCGGTGCTAGGACTAGGAGAAAACAGGGCAGGGATCAGGCAGGAAAACAGGGTCTAGTGGTAACTCCTCACGGTCCTGAGCACAGACAAATGCACACATAAGCACACGTAACGAACTGACAAGGAAACACAGAAAATGTCACCCATATATAGGCATGATAATGAGCCTCAGCTGGCGAGCTAATCAAACTAGCTGAGTGCCGTCATAACACATGACCAAAACAAATACACGTGGACAACAAAAACAAAACAAACCCACGATCAAACAGACACTCCTGAAGAGCGCACAAACCTGCAACCGTGACATAGACCCAAGTAAAGAAAACTGTGTATCAAATGTCCTTTGTGCCGACTGCCATTAGAATTTCATTAATAATTGAGTTTTTAATGTGGTTTATGTGATGATATTGAATGTATTTGTGTTGCCTGTTTTTCTGTGATATATGTGATGTGAGCGCTGATGTGGTGAAGCCAAAGATCATTTTAAAACCTGCAAACCTGTCAAAGTGCAGGTCATATCCACAGGCCAGGATCGCCCGCCAAGCACTGCGGATGTCCTGCTTGGCTCTGTCTAGAGTAAACTTGTGGAAAACTTCCAGCGTCAAAAACTTCTCTTCTGGCACTGTTGAGAAACATCGAGATAAAAGCAGATCATTCACACATTTGATCGAGCGCCTGCTTGAAGTTTTCGTAGGATGTGCGCACACCGACCTTATTTTTAATCACTTACGTTTAGACTCTTACTAAGGAATATACAACTAAATACAAAATCATTTGCCTATCTGTGAAATAGTTTTTCAAAAACAACTCTTATACATAATTCTTTAATAATTCTATAAAGACGGTGGATAATATTTCCTTAGCTATTTCTCTAGATGGTAGTATTCAGCTTAAAGCAACATTTAAAGGCTTAACTAGGTTAATTAGGTCAATTAGACAAGTCGTTGTATAACGAACTTAAAATTCTGTAGCCAATCAAAGAGCAAGCTGACAGCTCTCACATTGTCGCCCACTGAAGCTAAGCAGGGCTGTGCTTAGTCAGTACCTGGATGGGAGACCACATAGAAAAGCTAGGTTGCTGCTGGAAGTAATGTTAGTTTCTAAATGAGGTCCCGACTCTCTGTGGTTGTTAAAAATCCCAGGGAATTTAAAAAAATGATGGGGTTTCACCCTGACATCCTGGCCAAATTTGGCCTCCTAACCATCCCCATATTATAATTGGCTTAATTTTAATAATAATCTGTCTCCTCTCCACCAATCAGCTGATGCGCAATATGGCTGCCGTAAAATGCTATATACATTTACATTTACATTTAGTCATTTAGCAGACGCTTTTATCCAAAGCGACTTACAAATGAGGACAAGGAAGCAATTTACACCACTAAGAGCAACAATGAATAAGTACTAAAGGCAAGTTTCAGGTCTGTAAAGTCTAAGAAGGGAAGTGTTAGTAATTTTTTTTTTTTGTTTTTTGTTTTTTTTTGTACAGTTAGTGTGATATTCAAATAGGCAATTGCAGATTAGGAAGTGAAGTGGAGACTAAATAGTTGAGTTTTTAGTCGTTTCTTGAACATAGCGAGTGACTCTGCTGTTCTGATGCAGTTAGGGAGTTCATTCCACCAACTGGGCAGATTGAGCGTGAGCGTGAGCGAAAGTGATTTTTTTCCTCTTTGGGATGGAACCACGAGGCGACGTTCATTCACAGAACGCAAGTTTCTGGAGGGCACATAGATCTGCAGAAGTGAGTGCAGATAAGAAGGTGCTAGGCCAGAAGTCACTTTGTAGGCAAACATCAGAGTTTTGAATTTGATGCGAGCAGCAACTGGCAGCCAGTGCAAACGGACTAGCAGCGGAGTGACATGTGCTCGTTTAGGTTCATTGAAGACAACTCGTGCTGCTGCATTCTGGAGCAGTTGAAGAGGCTTGATAGAGTTAGCTGGAAGCCCAGCTAGTAGAGAGTTGCAGTAATCCAGTTTGGAGAGAACAAGAGCTTGAACAAGGAGTTGAGCTGCATGTTCAGATAAGAAGGGTCGGATCTTTCTGATGTTATAGAGTGCAAATCTGCACGATCGAGCAGTTCTAGAAATGTGGTCAGAGAAGTTTAGTTGGTCATCAATCGTTACTCCAAGGCTTTTCACCATTTTGGATGCAGTAATGGTTGCCCCATCCATCTGGATTGAAAAGTTATGGTGTAGAGTCGGGTTGGCAGAAACTACAAGCATTTCCGTTTTTGCGAGGTTCAGCTGAAGATGATGATCTTTCATCCAGTGTGAAATATCCAACAGGCAGGCTGAGATACGAGCTGGAACCGAGGGATCATCAGGATGAAAAGAGAGGTATAGCTGGGTATCATCAGCATAGCAGTGGTAGGAGAATCCATGTCTCTGGATGACTGGTCCTAGAGATGATGTGTAGATGGAGAAGAGAAGTGGCCCAAGAACAGAGCCTTGAGGTACCCCAGTGTTTAGATGCTGTAGGTTGGACACCTCTCCCCTCCAAGACACCCTGAATGACCTGTCAGAGAGGTAAGATCTGAACCATTGTATAACAGTGCCCGCAACGCCCAGTGACTCAAGCGTAGATAGCAGGATCTGGTGGTTGACAGTGTCAAAAGCAGCTGACAAGTCCAGCAAAATGAGGACTGATGATTTAGAGTCTGCTTTAGCCAGTCTGAGATCCTCCACGACCGAGAGCAGGGCAGTCTCAGTTGAGTGGCCTTTCTTAAAGCCGGATTGCTTGTTGTCCATGAGATTGTTTTGAGTAAGAAAGTCCAGGACTTGATTGAACACTACTTTCTCCAGAATCTTGGCCATGAATGGAAGCAGGGATACTGGTCTGTAGTTTTCAAGTAGCGTATGGTCCAGGTTGGGTTTCTTTAGCAGTGGGGTTACCCTAGCCTGCTTAAATGTAGTGGGGAATAAACCAGAGTCAAGAGATGTGTTAATTATGTGAGTCAGTGTTGGTATGACTGCAGGAGAGATGGCTTGCAAGAGATGAGAGGGAATGGGATCGAGTGGACAGGTGGTTGCATGGCTAGATAGCACAAGTTTGGACACCTCAGACTCAGAGAGCTGAGAAAAAGAGGTGAGTGTGTGTGGTGTTGGTGTTGTATCTTGCGTGTTTGTTGTAGGTGCAGCAAATTGAGCACTGATTTTTGCAGTTTTGGTGCAGAAGAATGTAGCAAAGTCATCAGTAGTAAGTGTGGAGGATGCGGGTGGAGGAGGAGGATAGAGGAGGGAGGAAAATGTTTTAAAAAGTAGGCGAGGATTAGTGGCATTGTTGATTTTCAGACGGTAATACGTCTGCTTTGCAGAAGTAACCTCAGCTGAGAAAGAGGACAGAAGAGTTTGGTATGTTAAGAGATGTGCAGGATTTTTAGTTTTCCGCCAAATTCTTTCCGCAGCCCGAAGTTTTGAGCGATGCTCACGGAGAGCATCCGAGAGCCAGGGTGCAGGAGGACTGGCACGGGCTGGCCTGGATACAAGAGGACATAATCGGTCTAGACATGATGCTAGTGTGGAGCAGAGTGTATTAGTGGCACTGTTCGAATCAAGTGCAGTGAGTTTGCGAGATGGAGGAAGAGAGTCTGAAACAATGGTGGATAGTCTATTGGGTGAGAGAGATCGTAGGTTTCTGCGAAAGGTAACCAGTGTAGGAGTGTGTGGCGGCTCAGGAGTAATGTGGATGTTGAGAGACAGAAGGAAATGATCAGATATTTGTAGTGGAGTTACTATTGTTTGATCAGTGAAGCAGTGTCGTGTGTAAATAAGGTCTAGCTGATTACCTGATTTGTGGGTAGCAGAAGTAGGTGCTCTTTTTAGGTCAAAAGAGGCAAGCAAAGTCTGAAAGTCTGCAGCTTGCGGACTTATAATGAAAGGAAGTAAAATATATATTTATTATAGGGGGGCTAATATTATTGACCTATTTCCCAGTTAAATTAAGACAAATAAGATTTTATCAAGAGTGTTTTAAGCTATTTCCTAATCACTCATATATTGCCTGATTACAGTGGTATACAGTAACATGCTTTTATGACGAACTACCATATACTGTCAAGTCATTTCCACTTAACATGTCGGAAATCAATGCATGTGCATCTGTGGGGGGTAGTAGTACCAAATTTTTTGGTAGTAGTTTGGTAATACATGCTTCAGTGAACTAAATGTATGAATGTATTTAAACAACATCTAATTTATTAATAAAATGCATACGTTTTCAGTGTTTTGAGGGATATTTAGTGACTTTTAGAGGTTACTGTAGGTCAAACTATACAAATTATGTGTCCATTTTTATTTTTTTATTAGGCTACATGCCGATATAAACACAGTATTTTACAAGAAATGTGTGTTGTGAATATTTGAGATGGTATTGGTCCTCAAGAGCTGCTATTTTCAGACTGTTGAATGATATTTTCCTAGCATTGATTGGCACAATTATGCATTTACAATGCTATGAACCGCTCAAATCTATATTTACATTATACTTTTTTATTATTAATATTAAGGACATAGATCAGAGAAAGCATTTTCTTACTATTAACGTGCTGACCCACCTCTCATACGTCTTGTTTTAAAGTCCTTCAGAGGGGATCAAGCAATACTGGAGGGGGTCAAACCCTCCCCAAACCCCCTGTAATTTGCACATTGGTTATTCACACACTGCTGCCACACAACTGTTTAAACCACTTATAAAAGTGATTTAGCATAATAGGCCCCCTTTAAGACCGTATCACTTCAGGCCAACAGGTGCCAACAAGTCAATATCTACATCATACAATATACTTCAAATCATTTTCACTGAAACATGCATGTTTAACCACATTTCTTAAACAAATCACATATTTTAAGCCAGCGTTTAAGGGACAGTTCACACAGAAATGAACATTTACTCATCATTCACTCACACACAAGTGGTCTCAAACCTTGAATTTCTTCTGTTGAACACAAAAGAAGATATTTTGAAGAATGTTGTAAAAGAAAAACAGCCAAACTTTATTTTGATGGTCAGTTTGTTGAATTTAAGTTACATTGCATCTACAGTACATGCCAACTAATTTTCATTAGACTGTTGGGTTGGGGTTAGGGTAAGTTGACATGCACTTGCAAAGTTTCTTATAGTCAGTTAAATGTCTGTTGAAGGAGCAGAATCAGCAGATATTAAGCAGACAGTCTACTAATACTCAAAATAAAGATGATCTAACCAACAAAATAAAGTGGTACAGAAAAAACCCACAATAGTAGGAACGAAAAATACTATGGAAGTCAACAGCTGCTTTTTTCCGACATTCTTCAGAATATCTTCCTGTACAGACATTATTAGAACCCACTGTACATTATAATTGAAATCCTGATTTGCAATTCTACATTTGATTGTTCTTTGATGCAGTCCTTCTTCTCAAACGGTCTATAAGTTATTGTCTAACACATCAATAGATGTGAAGAAAATCCTATTGTTTACTTCTGTGTCTGGAACAAAGTGCTATTATGCTTCTCTTGGATGGATATAAATTACAAGGCTGAGCTTTACTGCTGAATGAGACACACACAAGACAGTTTATTCAATTCACATTTATTGCAAGTGTTTGGCCTGCTGGGGAAATCAAGTTCTTTCTGGAGCAGTGATTGGTCACTCTGGGGATGATGAGTGGAGATCGTGAGGCAGGCCTTCTCGTCTGGAAGAGAACAGAGTCAAGAAAATCAGTGTCGATGTCTAAATGAAGCTGAATTTGAGTATGAATTAACATGACCTCTGACCCACAGAGAATTCTATATATACATATGTGTGTGTGACATACAGCATGTTTCAGAAGTGTTACTAAGCTCAGTCAGATGTCATGTCACTTAAATGAGATGAAATTACCTTTTAGAAAGTGTCCACACTAGCTCCTGCTCCTGAAGTAGGCATAAGCAGCAAAGACACCTATGCCGACTCCGACCCAGGCTGCTGGACTGCTCACCGCAGCTTTCACAGCACTTTTCACATTGTTGGAGATCCTTCTTCCCCATGAAGACTCGCTGTTCGCTCTCTCCTTTGTTTCATCAGCGGCCTCTCTCTCTGTTTCTCCACTGGTTTTTCTCTCCTCTGTTTCTCCAGCGGCCTCTCTCTCTGTTTCTTCACTGGTCTTTCTCTCCTCTGTATCTCCAGCGGCCTCTCTCTCTATTTCTCCACTGGTCTTTCTCTCCTCTGTTTCTCCAGCTGTCTCTCTCTCCTCTGTTTGTCTTGGAGAGCTGCTGTCATTATCTGAGAGGACCTCAATTGTCTTGTCTGGGCCCCACATGATGATCAGAGGTTTATTCAGTAAATCAGTGAAGTTCAGAGCTTTTTGTGCTCGCACTGCATCACGTCGATGATGGAAAGTCACAAAGGCATAAGCAGGAGAGATGATGTTGTTTCTGCACACTTGCACAGTCGAGATGGACCCCAATGCACCAAACTTTTCAATAAGCTGTTGTTCGGTGACCATTGGGTGCAGATTGCTCACGAGCAGTGTCTTCCACTCGATAAAGCGGCTCGTGGGGACCACAGGATCTGGTTGCTGGTCCCGTCCTGAATGCTCAAAAGTCACATAAATGTGTCTGCAATTAGTGTCTTCATCAAAAGAAAAATCCAAAGAGTGGATTTGGCTGAACTGTTTCATTGACTCAATCAGTTCTTGTTCGTCCACATTTGGGTCCAAAGTCAGAACAACCGATGACCACTCGTGATGAGGGTTGTCTGAAGACTGATTATAGTGAGTATCCATAGCGAACGAGTCCTTCACAATCACAGATTTGTCAATTCGTACAGTAACTGTGTGATTTACCAAGTCACTGTCCTGAATGCTGGCAAACTGAGATGAGCTGTTCTAACATAGAACTACTATAGAACACATTCTATGACTGTCGTTGCTAAGCAACCATCAGCTGGGAGCGCGTGTGTGCGCAAACAAACAGGATTCTAAATTGTTTATAAATGAATCTTAATCTGTTGACTATTAGATAAACTATTTATTACTATTGTTTTATCCTACAGATGATTGTTAATGTGCTGTTAATTATTATTTATTAGAAAAACCACCACTACTATGTCAATTGTTTTTATATGTCCTATTTAATGTAAACATCACAAATGCTTTGGAGATACATATGTAACATTTTTCAAGCCAATAAAATAATCTGAAAACATTGACTTTCTCTGTGTGTGTGTTGGTATTTTTAAAGGTTTAACATATACATCTATTGAAAAATAACCAGTTTCTGTTGGTTTACAGAAGCTTTTAGCAGAAACCTTTGTCTCCTCAGCTGCTTCAGTTTATTTAATGAAGGATTGAGTGCGGAACAGTTTCTGCTCTGAAGATATTCGGTCACAGAACTAAACCTACCTGCAAGAGTGATTTATATTTGACTGAATAGAGTTGATAAAATAATAATATTCACGGGTGTAAAATTCCTAAATTCACCTCTCACACCATATCCCTTATTAAGCGTCTGTATATACTTAGAAATAATGTATGTATGTATGTATGTGTATACAGTTGATGTCAGAATTATTAATCCCCCTGTTTATTGTTTTTCCCAATTTCTGTTTAACGGAGAGAAAATTATTTCAACACATTTCTAATCATAACAGATTTAATAACTCATTTCTAATAACTGATTTATTTTATCTTTGCCATGATGACAGTAAATAATATTTGACTAGATATTCTTCAAGACACTTCTATACAGCTTAAAGTGACATTTAAAGGCTTAACTAGGTTAATTAGGTTAACTAGGCAGGTTAGGGTAATTAGGCAAGTTATTGTATAACGATGGTTTGTTCTGTAGACTATCAAAAAAAATAAAGCTTAAAGGGGCTAATAATATTGACCTTAAAATGGTGATTTAAAAAAAACTGCTTTTATTCTAGTTGAAATAAAACAAATAAGACTTTCTCCAGAAGAAAAAATATTATCAGGCATACTGTGAAAATGTCCTTGCTCTGTTAAACATCGTTTGGGAAATACTATATAATTTAATAATAATAAATCAAAGGGGGGCTATATATACAGTTGAAGTATAAGCATAAGCAAAATAATTTATTTATATTTATATAATAATAATTATTATT